GGTGCTGGGGGATCGAACCGTGGTCCCTGTGCTTTGCCAAGCTTGTTCCAAGTAGGTGCTTTAGACCACTGAGCCATCTCTCCAGCCCCGAAAAAAATAATTTAAAAAAATAGGAATAAACACGTAATTTTACACAGAAATTTAGAAATCTAACCATATACAGCATTGTAGCAGGACAGTCCTGTGACTTTTTTTTTCTTGTCTTTTTTTTTTTTTTTTTTACCCTTTATTTAAAAAACCCAACAAACTTTTACTTGAGAGACAGTATGGTAATAATTGGTATGTCATGACAAGAAGTTTGTCTTTAGAGGACCAGAATGACAGGCATTCCAAGCGTGACCCTTCTATTACACATTGCTATCTTAAGTGCAGTTGCTTGGTTCACAGGTATCAGCATATATAGTTAGTCAGGGTGCGAATCCTACCAATTCACTGCTAGTTTCAAAAACCTGCTGATGTTTCTCAGGATCATTGCCTTACCCATCTTGTACGTATAAATGTATGGCTTTGCCCCTGTCATGTTTCCCAGGTTTTTTCCTTGCCATCTCCTCATTGGCCAATCATCAAGTTCCCGCTTTCCTTTTATACCTATTTGTAATTCTTCTTTTGAGTTCTCTTACTAGGGAGACTATACGATATTTACACATGTGGGTCTGGTGTATTTCACTTATAAGTATATCTTCAAGTGGCATCCACTTAAATATAATGGCTTCGAGTTTATCATTCTTTCTAGCTGAATAATACTCCATTGTATATAAATACCTCATCTTTTTTGACCATTCCTCATGTGACGGGCATCTTGGTTGTTTCCAAGATTTGGCTATCACAAATTGTGCTGCTGTAAACATAGGTACACATATATCACTATGATATGACATTTTCAGTTCCTCCGGGAAAATTCCCAGTAGGGGGATAGCTGGCTTGAATGGGATTTCCAGTCCTAGTTTTTTAAGGAGTGTCCACACTGATTTCCATAGTGATTGTACCAGTCTACCTTCCCACCAGCAGTGGAGAAGGGTTCCCTTTTCCCCACAGCCTTTCCAACATTTGTTGTTTGTTGATTTGTTTGATAGCCATTCTTTCTGGGCTGAGATGGTATCTCAGTGTTTTAATTTGCATTTCACGGATGACTAGTGATGTGGAGCATTTTTTCCATATATTTATTCACTTCTTTAATTTCATCCTCTGAGAAGTATGTGTTCATTTTAGATGTCCATTTCTGGATTGAGTCTTTAAATTTAGGAGCCCTAATGTTTTTTAGTTCTTTATAAATTCTAGAGAGCAGACCTTTGTCTGAGTGCTTATTAAGATTTTTTCCAAATTTGTGGGTTGTCTTTTCACTTTGTTGGTAATTTCTTTTGACATGCAAAAACTTCTCAATAAGAGATGGTCCCAGTTGTTAATTCTTTCAAGTATTACCCGTGCAATTTGATTTTTATTCATGAACTCTTTACCTACCCCTATGTCTTCAAGAGTTCCTCCTACTTTCTCTTCCAAGAGATTTAGTGTTTCTGGTTTGTTTGTTTTTTTAATTTTTTATTTATTTACTTATGTGTGTGTGTGTGTGTGTGCGTGTATGTGTGTGTGTGTGTGTGGCCAGCTCAGCCCACCAGGGGGCGGGACTGGCTGGCATGTGGTGCTGGGGAATTGAACCGCGTTCCCTGTGCTTTACTAAGCTTGTTCTAAGTAGGTGCTTTAGACCACTGAGCCATCTCACCAGCCCCTGTCATCAGCTTTTTGCCTTTTTTTTTTTTTTTCTTTTTTTTTTAGGTGAGGTTTGTTTGTTTTGGTGCTGAGGACCAAACCCAGAGCTTCCAGCTTGCTAGATAAACATTCTACCCCTGAGCTAATTCCCTAGACCCTGTCACCAGCTTTTTGAAAGGCAGAATAAACTTCCTTCTCCAGATCTGAGTTCATGATATGGTCAGACAGTAGGCTGTAGAAAAACATGAATATATCCTTGATGCCAAAGGAGCTTTTTTGTTTTACCTGATTGAGTTGTAACAGGATACACTGCCAAGCAAGGCCTATGAAGTGTAAGTTTGTAGGGATGACTTTGTAATCGAATCTTGAGCATATGGGAGAGCATGTTTAACAATTTTTTTGAGCTTTGAAGATTATATATAAGAAATTTCTGTAGCAGGGTAGACACAAAAAGTTGTACAAAACATTTGGAAATAGCATTTGTATATGCTGGGCCATTAAGTATAGGGGAAGAAACTTGTCTTTTTCTCCTGTACATTGTAAACAGGCTGGGTCCCTGGGGTGGGTGCCCTAGGTCCCTGGGGTGGGTGAGGCATGCTCCATCATCTTCATACCCTTCTGCACAGGAGGAGGATATTTACTAAGTGTGGACCCTGATCACCCCCATGTGTCACTCAGCCAAGCTTGCAATACCACTTCCAACCAAAATCCAGAAAAGTAAATGTAGGACTTAAACATGCAGAAATACTTACAGGTACATATAGCCCTCTGGTCCTGTAGGCTCTGTTCGCTCCATACTTTTTTGGGGGGGCTGACTCAGCCCTCCCTGAGGGCAGGGCTGGCAAGGTGGGGGGTGGTGGCACTGGTGGGGAAGTAGAACTGCAGTCCCCTGTGGCTGCCTATGCTTGCCTAAGCAGGCACTTTAGACCACTGAGCTACCTCGCTCTCCCCCTGCTCCATACTTAATTGGTAAATCAATACACCTTTAAGCTTTTATTTTTAAGGTTAGAGGACCTCCATCCTCCAAGTTTTACACCTGATAATTGCCAGTACTGATGCTAAATGTTGACAGTACCAGTGTACCCCCCACCTCAGTTGTGTGTTAATGACATGTGTCCCTTCACTCACTGTTTTCCTTACCCAGTATGTCCCTGTTCATGTGCCATTTGCTGCCAGCAGGCTTGGCTCTTGATGTTGGGGGGTAGGGTAGCGGGAGTAAAATAGCTGCCTAAGAACTGTAGAGGATTTATTTATATACTCAAGAGGTTGATGCCAGTTTCAACCTCTATATAACAATCTGTTTGCATCCTAGAATAGCTTATTTACATGGCTGGAAGAGCTCTCTGATCTCTGGCAGGCTTTGTCTGAGCCCAGCACCTCTCAGTGATTTTAGCTTCAACCCTCCCTACAGTGCCTGCCTAACAAACAAGCACCATATCCTGAAATCCATTGCTGGTACAACAAAAAATTAGCAGATTAGTGAGACCTGGTCTCAAAAAAAGAGAGGGGGATGTAGTTTGGTGTAAAGACCATGCATTAAATCCCCAGTATCATACTTTATATATTTGTTTGAGACAAGGCCTCACTCTGTAGCTGGCCTGAACTCATGGTGATATTCTCACCTCAGCCTCCCAGATGCTGAGATGACAGTATCATATTTTTTAAAAAAGCATCATATCACTATTCCCACAGTGACTGCTGGTGGCTCCTGTGCACTACCTTCTGGCAGGAAGTCACTACTCTCACTTCCTTTACAAACATTAGTTTGGCTGGTTCTCAAACTTATGAACTGAAAAACTGTATGGTATTGAATTTTTGTTTGGCCTGGTTCTTCATGCTCAGTGTGTTTTGGGGGTCACTTACGTTGCCTGTGCCCCTTGTGGCACTGATGTGACTCCAGTCATCGTTGTTTCCTTGCTTTCTGGTATAAGAAGGTACATGTACCTGTCTTATGCATGTGTGACCTAGAAGGGCAGGTCTGCAGCCTTTAACTGTCCCCAGCAGGAAATCATCAACCCTGCCACCACTAAGTGCTTGCTTAGGTAAGCGCAAGGAACCAGGGTTCGATCACTGGCACCACATGCCATGCCGGCCCCATCCCTGGGCACGCTGAGCCAGCGATGGAGTTTGGGTGAGGTGGCACACTCCTTTAATCCTAGCACTAGGGAGGCAGAAAACAGGAGGATGACTACAAGTCCGAGCTGCATAGTGAGACCCTGTGTGCGCGCACACACACACCTGCGAACATGCATGTCCTGTTTTTCTTTCCCTTTTCCATGACCTGGCTTGTTCGACTTCTTTCAGCCCTTGAGCATGTTCCCAACTCTGTTCGCTTGTGGAAAGCGGCTGTTGAGCTGGAAGAGCCTGAAGATGCCAGAATCATGCTCAGCCGAGCTGTGGAGTGCTGTCCCACCAGCGTAGAGGTGAGTTTGTCCAACTAAAGTTCACCACCCTCACCAAGGAAGGTCCAGTTCAGTGTGAGGGTGGGCGGCGCGTGTGGGGCAGTGTGCTTACTGGCCTGCCATTATTGGCACTAGAAGGTGGTCTGCAGCCCAGGATGCTAGTGTGCAGCAGCTGTCGGGTAGGGTGGTGGCTGCTTTGTGTTAGCACAGAATATGTGGTTGGTACATAGTGCGGGCTAGACCTGCAGGACTAAGTCTTTGCTGATGTCTGATTACAGCAGAAAACTACATTGGGCACGTTCAGGGCTTGGTATTACTAAATGTACTGATGCCATTGTAATATATGTGATGATAACATTCATCACGTGGCATTTACGCCTGTTCCTGAGACATCTTGGTCCCTTTTTATTTCATTTCTCTCCTCCCCCTTCAGCCCCTTGTGTCCTCATTGCAGTAGTCCCTCGCTGTTTTGCAGTTTGACTTTCATGGACTCACTGTTGTACAGGTTTTCTTTTTATTTATTTATTTTTTTTGTCCCCATCATTTTATTGAGAAACAAATAGCAATGAGACAGTTTCAAACCAAATTGGTAGGACAGTTTCAATACTTAACACATTGTATACATTCTTCCTAGTGGTTAATTGCTGTATAAGATGCAGACATGATATCCTATTTACAAACACCATTAGAATAAATCCCTCTATTCGTTAAGAGAATGTATCTATCCTAACCATTTTGAATACACAGATACAAAATGGACATTCATCCGTATACCCTTTGTTTGTTTAGTTCTGTTATTTGAATATTATAGGTGTGTTAACTCAGCAAAATATTCTAAAAGAGGGCTGGAGAGATGGCTCAGTGGTCTAAAGCACCTACTTGAAACAAGCTTGGCAAAGCACAGGGACCGCGGTTCGATCCCCCAGCACCACATGCCAGCCAGCCCTCCCCCGGTGGGCTGAGCTGGCCACACACACACAATAAATAAATGTAATAAATAAAAATAAATAATTAAAAAAAATATTCTAAAAGAGTTCAGTAGTTCATAATAGTATTGGGTCTTCTGCTTCATGTACAGGTTTTCAAAAAATACTAATCTAAGTTATTTATCTAGGGTTCTTCACTATATTTGTGGGGTTTTGCAGTACCATACAGTGTACATATGTTGTTAAAATTACATAGGTTTATCAGTTTAAAAAATGGTTAAGAACATTAAAAGGGTTTTTTTCTTTCTCTTATGTATTTAGTGCAGGGCCTACAGGGCCTACAGGGTTTCACTACGTAGATTGGACTCATAGTGATGCTCCTGTTTTCGGCCTCCCAAGCGCTGGGATTACAGGAGCGCACCACCACTCCCAGTCTCAGTTGCCATCTCAGTGTGCCCCTGGGCGGGGCCTGCACACAGAACCCTGGCCACTGCACTCTGCCTAAGCAGGCGCTTTAGTCCCCTGAGCTATTGGGCTGGCCCTTAGAAGTGTTTTTAAAAGTGTGGGAAAGGTTTGTAAGTGTGGGAAGGGTTTATAAAGTCTTAAAGTGCATGTAAATACTAAATAAATGTAACATTGCTACTTCGCTGATTTTCGCTTATCACAGGGGTGTCTGGAACGTGACCTCCATGATGTGAGGGACCTCTGTATTTCCAAAGCTTTGTTTCCCTTACCCCTTTTTTCTCATTTTTTTTTCTTTTTTCCTTCCTTCTTTTCCCCACTCCCTCCCTAGTTCCCTTTTCCTTTTGAACAGTTTCTTCCTACTTTACAATATCTATTACATATGTTGGCTCTTATTTGCACTTTTAGTTTCCCACGTCAGAGAGATGTGATACTTACACATTTGTCTGATTTATTTCACTTAGGAGTATGGTCTCAAGGTCCATCCATATCTCAAGTTTATCCTGCTTTATGGCAGAATAATAGAAAAAGCCACATCTTTTTTATCCATTCATCAATAGATGTCTGGGCTGTTTCCAAAATTTGGCTGTTACGAACTATGGCTATAAATATGGGTGCGCATATATCACTACGATACGATCTTAATTCTTTCAGGAAGATACCAAGAAGGGGAATAGCTGTGTCAAAGGGAACCACTAGTGCTAGGTCTTTTTTTGGTGGGGATGGTATTGGGGATTGAACTCAGGACCTTGTGCTTGCCAGGGAGGCACATACACCTCTGAGCTGTCTCCTTGGCCTCAAGTCCTAGGTTTTTGGGTTTTGGTTGTTTTTTTTCAAGTGTATTTGGTTGTTGTAGGGTCTCACTATGCAGTTCAGACTCGTGATCTTCCTGCTTTCACCCTCCCCAGCGCTGAGATGACAGGTGTGCACCACCCTGCCCGGCCGACTCAGCCCACGCTGAGGGCAGGGTGGTGAGGCATGTGGTGCCGGGGATTCACCCATAGTCCCTGCCCTTGCCTAAGCTTGCCTAAGCAGGCACTTTAGTCCACCGAGCTATCTCACTGGCCCCGCCGAGTCCTAGTTTTTTGAGGCATCTCCACTCTGATTTCCACACTCCCACCAGCAGTGGAGGAGGGCTCCCTTTTCCCATAACCCTGCTAAATGCTGTCTCTTCTTTTTTTTTTTTTTTAAATTTATTTGTGTGTGTGTGTGTGTGTGTGTGGCCAGCTCAGCCCACCAGGGGGCGGGGCTGGCTGGCATGTGGTGCTGGGGGATTGAACCGCGGTCCCTGTGCTTTGCTAAGCTTGTTCTAAGTAGGTGCTTTAGACCACTGAGCCATCTCACCAGCCCCAATGCTGTCTCTTCTAATGCAGCTGAGCTTGTGAGTGGTAGCCAAAGGGTAGTGGCATAGCAGGAGCTTTGCTCTGTCTTCTTCCTGGCCAGCTCTTTGCCTCAGAGCTGTGTGATTTCTTTACTTTAAATCTTCAAGTTAACACAGACTTCTCTACAGTGATTTCTTTTTTTTTTTTTTTTGTCGGAACCAGGGATTGAACTCAGGTGCTTGTGCTTGCGCTTGCCAGGCAAGCACTTATTCTGCTGAGCTATCTTCTTGGCCCAACTGTCTTCCCGGCCCTTACTACACAGATTGGACTTGTAGTGATTCTCCTGTTTTCAGCCTCCCAAGTCCTAGGATTACAGGCATGTGCCACCAGGCCCAGTCTCAATCGCTGTCTTAGTACACCCCAGGGGCAGGGCCCTGCACCTGCTTGCAGGTGCTTTAATCCGCTGAGCTGTTTGGCTGGCCCAGTCTTTTTGATCTTTTGAAACAGGATTTTGTTATGTAGTGTTGTGCTGGTTTTGAATTCACTATGTAGCTAGGCTGGCCTCAAACACCCTGCTTCAGTCTCTTTGAGTGCTAGCATGACAGGTGTTCACCACCATACCCACCTCATCTTGGTCTTACGATATGTGGTATATCTTTAATTATCCTAACAGATATTCTGCAATTCTTCAGTCAACTAATCATATTTTACTTATATAGAAAGATATGTAGAGCCTGCCACATTTTGGTGTGAAGGTTGCACACTCAGCACTGCGAGGCTATGAGACTCTGAGGAGGCTTAGTGCATGCTTCTCTTTGAGTCATTCTTCTCATCTTCTCTCCCAGTACTGGGAGTTGAATCTGGTACACTGTGCACACTTTAAACTGGGATTTGAAACCTCTGTTGAAAGAGTCCCACCAGCCTTTCCCACACCAGAGCTCATCATGAAATTAGAATCATAGCTGGCCAGTTGATTGCGTGAGAAATGCTGCTCTTTAAATGGTCCTTGAGGGGCCGGGGAGATGGCTCAGTAGGATAAGCGCTTCACTGACAAACGCAAGGATCTGAGTTCAATCCCTGGTTCCACCAAAAAAAAATAAAAAATAAAAAAAAAAAAATGGTCCTTGACAATCTTTAGGGGAGGTCTTTTTTTTTTTTTTTAACTTTATTTATTTATTTAGGGGCTGGAGAGATGGCTCAGTGGTCTAAAGCACCTACTTGGAACAAGCTTGGCAAAAGCACAGGGACCGCGGTTCAATCCTCCAGTACCACATGCCAGCCAGCCGCGCCCCCTGGTGGGCTGAGCTGGCCACACACATACACACATACACACATACACACACACACACACACACACTCTAAAATGTTAAAAAAAAAAATTATTTATTTATTTATTTGATACAGGGTCATGCTACTGTAGCTTGTAGTGATCCTCCTATCTCAGCCTCCCCAGTGCTGGGATTACAGGTGTGCACCACCACGTCCAGTTTTGGGGCCTGCACTGCATGCCTGGGGTTCCTGGGCCAGCATGGCATGCTGTACCAGGATTCAAACTGGGGTCCTTGACTTGCCAAGCAGGCACTTTAGATCACTGAGCTATCTCCCCAGCCCTTGACAGCCTTTAGGAGGCGGTTGTTGAAATCCACTTTGGCTTGTTGAAATCCACTGCTGGCCATGGTGTACACTCTGTAATCCCAGCATTCTGGGAGGCTGAGGCGAGAGGATCTCAAGCTGGAGTCCAGCCTGAGAAACTTACCAATACTTGATCTCAAGTAAAATTTTAAGTAAGTATGGGGTCTGCTGGAGACTTAGCTCATTGTGAAGGTCCTATGTTCAGTCCCCAGTACAGTTGGTGAGTCAGTCAGTAAACAGAAAAACACACCACCTGACCTAGAGGATGGTACATAGTGCTACCAGCTTTCAGAACATTGTCTTCTCATTTTCTTTTTTTTTTCTTAATACTTTTTTTGTGTGCGTGGCTGGCTCAGACCACCCTGGGAGTGGGGCTGGCACGTGGTGCTGGGGTTCTAACCTCGGTCCCTACACTCTTGGCTAAGCTTGCCTAAGAAGATGCTTTAGATTGCTGAGCTATCTTGCCAGCCGGTCCTCTCATTTTCTGATATTCTCTTTATAGCTCTGGCTGGCTCTAGCGAGGCTGGAGACTTACGAAAATGCCCGCAAGGTCTTAAATAAAGCACGTGAGAACATTCCTACAGACCGGCACATCTGGATCACAGCTGCCAAGCTTGAGGAAGCCAATGGGAACACTCAGATGGTGGAGAAGATCATTGACCGAGCCATCACTTCCCTGCGGGCCAATGGTGTAGAGATCAACCGCGAGCAGTGGATCCAGGTGGGCTGCATCTGGG